TTCAGAAGGTGACTTGCCATTCTGGTGATATAATTGAGTTCTAGGAGTGGTCTACAAATGAGATTCGGATTCTTAAGTTCCCCTATTAGTGGTGACAGTGATCGTCATACACTCAGGGATTCCAACACAAGTGCTCTTAAGTACCTTTCATTGTATAGCTTCCGGAGCATGGATATCATATTTCTACTACAGCTGCTTCGCCTAGGTGGATCACTCTGAGTGAGGTCGCCCTTAGGCGTTAACCATTTGTGGGGTACTATTGTCAAAGAGGACCATTCGCGCACAAGAAAATGGACACCAGTTCGTATTCCATCTATGGTAGCCCACCTTATTCTGCAACGCATAATCTCGGTATTTATATCCGGCAATTGGTCGAAGGCGAAAATGAACCGCCTTGCATTTAGCCGCGTTTAACCAGGGATGAGCACCCGTCACCTATTCGCGAACACTGTCCAGGTCAGCTTCAAGGAAACTGTGACCCTACCTGCCAGTCACTCACCATAACTTTGGTGAACTGCAAGAAATTCGGAACAAAGGTATGTGCTAAGTGTCTGATGAACAACAGGAATAATCATGACTCGAGCATTGAGAACCTTTTAAATACACATGCAACCCGATTCGTTAGAAATTTTAGTACCGGACAGTTAATTGAGTCTTCATCTATGGTAGGACAATTTCGGTCTAGTCAAGGGTACCATAATTCATTCCATATTTTTGGATTATTTGCAAGCAAAGGTGATGATCGGAGACAGTGATTTGAGACATAACGTAATGCAAACAAGCTTGTTTGTTCCGTAGTCACTAATAATGTATTCCGAGTAGACTGCACATCGTTCAATAACCAGTCTATACACCACCGTCAGTTTGAACACGGTTTCAATTATTCGCGTTCTTTTACCGCCGCAAATATCTTGTCTGTCGCTTCATGTAAATGTCACAGCAAGGTCTCCGGCTATAAGGCCAAATTGAGTGCACCATTATGCAAATCAGTGCATTCGTTCGAAAGACTTTTGGGTAACAATTAACAGCTTTTCACCACTTTGAATCCAATTTGGAATTAAACATGGCAGTTTATGATTAGAGGCGAAAAAAGCATAGATTTTCAGCCCATGGCGGTCTATAGCAGCCTGTAGTTGGTTAGTAGGAGCGGTGTTATTAGTTGTGATACAGAGGTCAACTTGAAGATGCGAGTGTTTACTGAACGGTGCAAATTGGTAAGCATAACTTGCACTTTCAAGCACTTTCGAATTTTGGGATTTTTATGTGCCCCGCTAATGTGTAATTCATTTTTAACAAACAAATACTCTTTCGAACACATTTCTTAAATGAGCATCTCTACGGAAGTCATGGTTTTAGTAAAAGTGTATTTCTCGGGCAGTTTGAAAAAAACAAATATTTTTGTATGAAGTAAGAACCCATGGTGATTTGATGCGAAAAGCTCCAAGAAGATCAACATCCTCGACCCAGCCTCAGCGAAAACAGTTTTTATATAAAGAAAAAGGAGGAGCTTCTAGTATAATACAGAAATGTTCCATCGACAAACCATCCCTTTCTTGGTGCGACGCAAGCAGGAAGTCAGAGTAAAGATCTATTACATGTGTCTACTGAGATCCTAGGTAGCCCCAAACTTGAAATAAATGAGATCCCTTGTAGAAGAGATCATACTTGCGAATTGGTGATTCATTCCACTTAGCTCAGTCGGTAGATGCATCATATTTTGTTGTCGATAGCTGTAATCCTTTACGTTTCAGTGTTCGCGTTGCATAGGCTTGCCTCTAGAAGGAACCAAATGTAGTACTGTCAACAGCACAATCACAACACTGAAGGAGCTGAGGCCAATTTCAGTGTGTTACTTCTGCAAATATGTGGTCAGTTATGTGGTCAGATGATCCAACCAAACTAAAGGAATCCCTAGCATCAAATTACACGTTATTTCGGTGTTATAACATGCCTTCGGATTTGTGTTCTACATGGTGTGTAGTCTGCTCATTGAAACAAAAGCATGTGCCTGAGCGACGGCACTTATGTAGTAAAATTAGGTCAGCTTATCTGAAAAATTCTGGCAATTGAAATGCTCCGGATTATGCTGACAACTGTGTGTGTGCTCCCAATGGTGCTGACCACATGTACACATCGCGTACTTCGGTCACACTAACCAATCAAGTCAGTAAAGGAAGCTTACCAATTCGATGCGCTTCAAGCGTTTTATCGATGGTGGATTATTATGACTGTACGCCGGACTAGGGTGAACAGGGGATCGATCAACCCATGAGTAGGCTTTGCAAACGGAACTGGAGTCGTCTTGTGAAAGACTTAAAGATGTAACCAGAACTTTCTACTTGGGCATGGCCATTCATGTGAACCGCAATCGAAATGCCAGTGAGTAACTCAAATAGGCTGACTTAGAGTGGGATATATTTTACTGATTTCGCTATAGTTTTATTCGACAGTGCAACGTTTATATCCCCCTTAGCGATGACTGTCCTATTGTCAACCAGACAAGTGAAATTTATATCGTCACTGTTAGTCAGGAAGTCTTGGCGTGTATCCGAACGCCTGGTGTCTTTTGTCGGATGTGCATTTTGAGGAGCGAACAAGTGAGTTTTAGCATCCACTCAACCCTAGCTTCGATCGAATCTCTAGTCATGCAACTAGCCGGTCACCCCAGACAAACAGTAGTCCGCGCCAAATTCAAACTGGCACTGCTAACTGATGGTCCTTGTTTGTACTTAAGTTGTACTTACTGAGTTGCATAAATCAGGCTCATACCGAACACTTATCCTCCTGCAGCAAAAATGCGTAAATTGCCCATCATCCGAAGATGGGAGAGTAAGACTGGATGTTTGTGGGTAGTGTAAAGTTTGTAGAAACTAGAAGTCACGATTAAAATTCGGTAGCACATTGGTAGAGCAGCGGACCGGAAACTCGTAGACCGGGGTTCGATTCCCCGTCGAGGCACATTATTGTGCGTAAATTTTAATCGTGACTTCTACCTTCTACAAACGTTTCCAAGCGTTGTGTCACCATTTCAGAAATGTGGAAGTCTACAACGGTGAGACGACGACTGCAATCACAGTCATCAGAGAACAATGGTCAAGGAACCTCTTATCTGACAGTTTTGGGGTCGCCCAAGAATTTGTAAGTAAATGATATTCCGGATGACGCTATCACCATGCCGGTCAAAAACTGGCTACTTCGTCGAATATTACACGTGGATTTGAGCTACCACTACGGAAAATGTTGCATTCAAGTACAGCTATAGTAGAAGTATCTTGGTAAAGTTTGGCTGGAGCGCAAACTGCCTAAAGTGCTTATTGCAGTGCCCCAAAACATATTATATATTGTTAAACACAATTTTCTTTCTGATCGAATGAACAAACTTTGTTCTGGTTACATTGCTCACCACCCTCCGTCCAAATCCCTTCTCACATCTCCGTTCGGTAAGTTACTGGACTGACGCTGATTGCTCTATTTGCTTAGTCAGACCTCACCATCTTGTGGCCACTCAAGTCTGATCCGTTGTCTACAACTTTCTTTGCCTTCTGATAGTGGCAGCCGGTGACGCACCCCAGTACGGATAGATACTCACTAGTTCTATACACTAAATGCTTCAAGTATTGGCGATGTTTAGTTGTAGCTTGGTAGCTAAAACAACTTAAAACTGTGATAAAACCACTGGACTTCGTACACAACGCATATGACTTTTGGAAGATTTATTCGACGAAAGCTTTGGTTCATTTGGTTGTAGGGAGCAGAGGGGAGAAACCTTATCAGTTCCGTCGATTCCTATTCATTGCGGGATAGCTGCGGGTTGTGGAATGAAGACGTTCCTCCATGGCTCGTCGCAGTTGCAGCGAAAGCAGCAGGATCCCTGTGATTCCAATAAGTGTTTGTCTAAAAGCTTCTTGAAACATTCCTACGAAGGTTCATCAACAATTTCCTTTGGTAAACTGTTTTACTCATTCACCACCCGGGTGGTCAGGGTGAGGTCTGAACGAGCATGGAGCTTTCTTGGTCTGAACAGATTCCAGTTTTGACCTCCTGTCGAGCAGTCGGCGTTGGAGTAAAAGAGCTGCAATAACTCGTTTTCGATTTCAGCAAGTAGGATGCGCCTAGCGTAAACGAGATCGCCGCGGCAACGGCGGAACTACATGGGAAACATGTTTAGCTGGTGAAGTCAGAGAGGGTAAGGAATATCGCGGAGCCCGAGGCACGTCTCTGGATGTTCTCAATCAAATTGCACTCAAACTTAAGGAGGGGAAAAACGTCTGGCTGCTCATATTCTATTATGGGACGTACACATGCAATGTATAGAGGTTCGAAGACCTCAGGAGTCATTCCGGAGTATGATCTTCGCAAGGCTCCTAGCAGTCTCTTTGCAGCTGCGGCCCACTTCATTGTGACCTGCGACGTCCTAAGCTCAAAGGATGCGATGATCACGAGATCCTTTTCCTGAGTGGTGTTCTTGAGAAATAATCCACCAATGTGGTATGGGTCAGTTTTACCGATTGGGAGAACCGCACATTTATCGCGACCGTAAATGTGACCAAAAACAGGATTGCTCATCGCTGTCTGATGTTAACTGTGTTGGCATTTAATACGATAAGCATTGCATGCGGTTAAACAGATTGGAACGTCTAAAGATGCATATGGTAACTGTGTCGATGCATCAAGCTGATGGATGCAATTTCATCTAAATAGAAAGTTAAAGTGTAATTTAAACCAATGCTAAGCTTCAGCGGAACTCTGGTGTCAAAAACATTTAAGCAGTAGAACGCAGCAAGGTCAGTTTCTCTACACTCCGTTTCGCTGTGATAATCTGTAGCTAAGTAAACAGCTTTTACCTTTTTATCATTGGGGATGACAAGGGTTCCAAAGGTTTTAATTTTATGTTTAATGCAGTGAACAGAGTATTGCTAGTTTCATGGATAGAACAAAGGTCAACGAGATTAGAGATGCATTCGACAACTAAAGAAGAGAACCAACAAGATTTCACTAACCTCACCCATATGGGATTTAAAACCTTCTCTTGCATTTTTGGATCTGAAAAGCTGTCCTTCACCACGTCTATATCCTTCCGAAGAGGAAAAGCTGGCCATGACGGTTTCAGAAGTAGTCACCGATACAGAAGAACTATTGCAAGAATTCGTGCCGCTTTCCTCCTCATTGCTCGGGGATTGTTGCGAAGAGTATATTATATCGGCGATTAGGAATCTGGAGTGAACATCCGGTCGGACAACTTGTAGTTCTTGGAGAAGCTCCGTTGAACACATTTCAATTCCTGAGATGCAACCGCTTTCACCTCGGAAAGCAATTTGGCCCAACAACTGTTATCTAACTCAGTTACAGTAAATCAATGCTGTTGTCACAGTCGAACTGTTGAAGTTAATAAATGCATATACATGATATATGCTCTCCACTCGAGTTGCGGCGCCCCATGAACAGCACCATCATTAGTACACACAGTTCATCCTCATCAGTAGGCTTGGATGCCACGTTCAAGGCCGGCGGAAAAGCAGCCAATCATAGCCCTTTCCTCGAGGTCGAATGAGCAACGAATCAGCAACTTGCTTAATCTTCCGACTGAAAACGTGTTTTGTCGAAAACTCCAGCATCATATGTGCAAGTCGTAGTTCGTTAGGGTCTTTAATGACTTCTGTAGCTCATCGCTGAAAATAGTGTGGTCAAATTTAGCAGTCGCAACAGCGGTACTTTTACGCCTTCTGGGTATTTCAAGATAAATTACAAATGTCCAGGTTGTGTGGTATCTACAGTACCATCACAATACTAACGATTTTTGTAGAACTTAATCCTTTCATTCATAGAGGTCACTGTAATGGACGGCTACCATTGGCTCGTTGCACTGCTGCACAGACGTTTTTCATGACCAGTGACGTATGTAGTCCACTTCAGAGGCATTACGCTGTATGATGTAACCATTACCAGGGGGTAGATATATTTTATTTCTACTGTGTAGTCCAGATGGCGGACAAGTCGACAGCTGGTACTTATAATTCACAGGCGTCTACTATTTCCACCGAATCTTTTGCGGAAAAGCATCAAGTGCGGTAAGTAATTGTATTTCAGCTACATATAGTGTTTAATGTTAAATAAATTATAATGTTTTTTGAGGCTGTTTATCTATCTTGATATCATTCTCTGTAAACCTGTCCACTGTAGTGGACTACATGCAGTAAGGTCATGGAATGCCATATACACTGATTACAGACATACATTCCGATATTGATAATAATTGTAAAATTATAATGTCCACTTCTAACTTTGCATTTGTTAGCTATTCCTTTGATTTATTATAAGATGGTGTATAATTCTTTTGTTGTTTATTGCAATTTCAGAGCATAATAGATATTTCAATGGATTCAGAATGTTCTTCTGTTGAGGACAGTGAAAGTTGCTTTACGTATGCGGCACCATGGAATGCCATCCTTCCAGAAGCATACCCCACCTCAGACAACGAATTTATTTAAGAGTGTATGAAGTGGCATAGAATCCTCCGGTTATGCATTTAAATAAATCAAACACAAATTATATGTGGACCAATAAAGAACAATCTTTTGATGGCTCTCTTCCACCTTTCACCAGTGAACCTACAGTAAAGGTGCACTGTGAAAATTCTGTTGATATTCTCTAAGGTTGCTGCATGAAGAATGTTTAGAACTCACTGTATACCAAAGAAATTTGTACGCGACACAATGTGGGGTAGAGAAATTGCGTTGGATAATAGCCGAGCTAAAGTAGTATCTAGGAATAAATGGTTGATACCATACATCAGGTACCCCAGAATAGGTACATATTGTTCGTCAGATGAGGGACTGAAGATGAATCTTAGCGCAAATTCAATGCAAGTGAATCTAGTTAAAAATGCTTCTTATTTACAGACAACGTGGAACCACACCCCAACAATACAGATAGGCTTTCAAGATCAGGCCTGTTGTTGAAAACCTACCAAATTCATTTTTGTAAGTAGCTGAAGCAGAAAAGCATCAGTCATTTGATGAACAGCTAGTCCTATTCAAAGGCCGAAATTTGATTGATCAATATTTGTCAAACTAGTTCAAACCATGGGGTTCAAATTGTGAGTTCGAGCTGGTAGCTCGGGTTATGTTTACCGATTCGAAGCGTACCAAGTAGCGTGTGGTGGAAGGGAGGCTCTTAGCGAATTTAGTGATTTTGCTGATATTGTCCTTCGTCTATACAATGATATTCATCATAAAGGCCACAAATTGTTCTTCGATAATTTTGTTAAAAGCTTCACCTTGCTAGAAGAACTAAAAAACACATGGAATGTGTGGCACTGGAACATGTAGTGCTAAGAGAATTCAGGGCGCTCCATCACTGCTGCCAACAGAGAAAGAAATAAAATAGAAAGACAATGGCACATTCACGTAAGTTACATATAAAGACAAGGTAACAGTCACCGGATGGCTTAATACTTCTTATATTCCAATTGTATTAACATATGCCGTACCTCATCTCCAAGACCTGGCACAGCGGTGGAGCAGGAAGGAAAAGAAGATAATCACCGTACCCCGACCCTTTGATGTAAAAGTAAAATAACCATGTGGGTGGAGTAGACCTCATGGATCAGTGTGTAGCACCCTACCAACAACGGCGTCGCAATAAGCGCTGGTATATCAGAGTGTTCTTTCATTTTATGGATATTGCAGCTGTGAACTTCTGATTTTAACACATGAAAGCTGGCAGCATTTTAACCATTTTACATTTCAAGGCTTCAATTGCCCGAACCCTAATAAATCTCAGTACACACAACCAGACAGCGGTCAATAGAAGACGACCAAGCTTAACTCCCTCTATTGTGAAAACGCGTAGCGCAGTCTGAAAAGCCGCAACAGAAGTAAGATTTCATAAAGGCAACCACTGTCCATAGCTGCAAAAGATCAAAAGTGCGCAAAGGCTATGATACACACTGCAAAAAGAAAATAAAGTACAATTATGTAGATTAAAATGAACCTCTGTGCCCAGCTTACTTTGCCAATTTCCATACCAAAATATGAATGTTCTAATCTCCGATGCATTCAGTCCACCGCAGTGGAGTTAAATAAATTGTAGACTAATTTATCGTACGATAGTGGAGTTTTATTTTAAACTCCTTTTTAGACCCCAACTCAATTAAACCATTTTATAACTCTTGTACGACGACTCCAAAAATTCATGCACGAAGAGGTTAATGTTTACTTTTGTATGATCAGCTCACTGATATCTTCCTCTTGGTTCGGCCTCCACTTGATAATCGGACATCAAAATTTCCGTTCAGATAACGGATTCAGTTTGACGGACCTATATGTCAAAGAACTACCATCTGAGGGAAGGTTATAAGAAAGCATGTATCATCGCAAAACCTATTCATTATCCCAAAAATGCCTTGCCACTCTGGTCGCTGCATTTGCGCAGATTGGGCTTTGAACGTTTGTAACTTAACAAATACCGAGGCAGTGATATGCAGTAAAACTAAGTTGATTAATTGAGGTTTGTCGTGGCCAGGTCAAAATCAGATAGTCGTCCACAAGCCCGGAAAGGCACTAGACTGTAGTTTCAACCTGTTGGGCTTCATCAGTATCGCGATTACATCGAATCCACCAGGTATCGAACTCACGACCAACAGAGGCTCGCACCGCCAGTCAGTAGCTTACGCCACTGAGCCACGGGAAGCAGCTTCGGACCGTCATGATTTACAAGCTAACTGCGATATATCGGGTCTTATCCTCCACTGCCATGCAAGTGACGAACATTTCAGGGGAGAGCGTTGGCACAGAAATACACAACGCCAAATAACAGTAGTAATGTACGATATAGCAGGTAGAAACTGTCAAGGTGGAGATATTTTGATGTAATCATGAGTAGAGATTTTTGTTATAGTTAACTGAGGTTTGTCGCAGTTAGTTTCAAATCAGATAGCCATCCACTTACCCGGAAAAGCACTAGATTACGGTTTCAAGCTATTGGGCATCATCAATAGTGCGCGTCCACCGGCTCCATCAGGAATTGTACCCATGACCACCAGCTTTCTGAACCGGCAGTCAGCAGCTTAAGCTACTGGGCCACGGGTGACAGCCTCGGACCGTCAGGATTTACAAGCCAACTGCGATATAACGCGTCGTTTCCTCTAAATGCAATTTCGTACGTAGTTTCTGTCAGCGGAGGTCGTGTATATCGGGGCCAACCCTCTCCACTGCAATATTCGTTACTTGGTCTAAAAGCGAATGGATACCCATATAAATACATTCCCAAACATTTGAAAGATAAAACCAGCGAGAATTAATGCGTGTTTTCTTACAAATGCTACACTGCGGTTGATGTCTTATCCAAACGCCTGAAAGACGCTATTGTGGAGAGTTATTTGCGGCTCGCCTAAGCATAGTATACTACAGCAAATCTCTACTCGCAAAACCTTTATAAAGACGGGCTGCTTCTGGTGATTCGATCAATGCCTGTTTGTCTGTACTCGTGTTCCTGTGGTGCACGATAAATGGGTCGTACTACGAGGCGGCTATCCCATAATATTAGGGAGCACACAACGAAGTAGTTAGACAAAAACAAATCGAAGTCTAGTAACAGCTCCATCCTGTCGCCCTTAGTAGAGTGCGGTAACGCAGGGACGGGAAACGATTTCAGCGTCATGTATACTATCGCTGAAGGTTCCTCGTGCGGATTTCGGAAGCGTCACCAATCCATTGCGGAAGCCATCTATAAACGTGACCTCAAGCAGGAGTTGTGTGCACAAAAACATTGTGTACCTCCTTTGCTTCTACTGTTGCCTACAACTGCTGCTGTCATTGCGCCTGTACATAATTTGTCACCTTCAATGATGCAGTGATTTTTTGTGTGGGTGCTGTAGAAATTAAACATTCTAATCAATACGCAGCTCAATCCGGCACCTTTAGTATCTTGACATCATCATGTTATGTTTAAGAAGGCTAAGAAACACTAGCAAGAATTCGTTACCCACAATCAGTCTCCCTTGGTTTATTCTATTTAATGGGCGTTTTTGGATTGCTATAAATCAGCATTTCCCATGATTTAGTCAATATGCAACTACCTAACTACACAAGCCAGTTCGTGCACAGAATATTCTTATCCAGCTTGTAGCCTGAGCTACGGTACAAAAATATTGATCATCCTACGGCTCATTAGAAATCCCCTCTGTTTAATTAAAGCTGTTTACCTAACCGACGGATTTATGTCAATTAGCTAGGTAAATGAAGGAACCGCCTGGCGTCAACCTCGTTATATATATATATATATATATATATATATATATATATATATATATATATATATATATATATATATATATATCGTTAACAGCATCCAGTTTCGGATTTGCCTGTCACTATGACCGGTCACAGGACGGCTGTGGCTACGGAGGGACCACGAGTGGCTTGTGCTGCACCACCCGTAGCTCCATCCACACAGCCCAT